CTCGCGCTTGCTCACTCGGCTGGTCAATCACTTACTCAGCGACTTAGAGAGTCATACTCCGTACAATGCGAGTGCCGGAGTCGAAGACATAATTTCAAACAAATTCATCACGCTAAATAAAATAAATGGAAGGTCTGTTTGCAAAGGTCAAACACAATGAACCTCTTTAATTGGCTATAATTTTTGTGTTTCCATTTACATTTTGGTGTGTGTGGTTTTTTTTCCTTCTTTCGCTTTGTTCTTTGGTGAGTATGTTTTTGTCGCTTGGAAAATTGAAATTGGATAAGTGGCCCGTTCGAGAAAATGGACCGTAGTACAATGCAGCCGAAAGGGAAACATACTCGTAAATTGATTCAAAAATAAAATGGTTTTTTCCCTCTCCCTCTCTCTCTCTCTCTCTCTCTCTCTCTCTCTCTCTCTCGCCCGGTGTGTGTGCGTGGCTAAATTGGTAGTTACCATTAGGCGGTTAATTTTACTGTACCTTGAATGCAACTCGTCTATGTTATTGACGGCGATAAGTGGTGAGTATTGCATTGCCACCAGGCAAATATGTGTTACTCATGACCAACGTGTGATGTCGATCATACGAAAGTCATTCATTTTGTTTTCCCATATAATAAATTGATTTGATTGTTCCCAAAAAATGTTGTTGATATTGACACAAGATCTCTAGCGCCTGAATTCAATTCAATGTTTCTGTTGAAAGTATTAAAAAGAGACGCAAGAAAAAAGGGAAGATAGAAAAATCAACAACGGCACCACATTTTGAACTATACAAGTCATTTGAAGCAAATTACTTTTGTCGCCGTTAACAATGACCATTTTCAATTGGTTAAAAGAAATCATTCAAACTGTAAATTTGTAACGGCATAAACAATTATTTTTGTTGATAACAAAATCGGCCGATCGAAATGACCTGTGCGCTGCGCTGTGCTGTGCTGTACTTGATCGCATATTATTTGTCGAAGCAAATGATATATATAAAAAAATGCAAATGAAACAAACGTGCCAAGCAAATGAATATGAATCGAGAACACAGAAATGATGGGTGTACGCCGTGTAATGTGTCAGCCGCCCGGAAAATATGTGTGCCGTGTATGCTCTGTGTAAGTCAATTCAACGCCATATTGTACACCGTATCACTCGACGATATCATGCACTTCAAAACTCAACTGAACTCGTTAACATACAATTCGGTTACGCAATGGGTAATAACAAATGTTTTGCTGGAGCGACGTATGTGAACTGCTTTTTTACAAGTGTATAAGTGTGTGTGTTTGAGTTGTCCAATGCGATTTTTCGCCTCTTTTTGTTTCCTCAGTTCACAGTCATTGTTTTGCACATATGCAATTGTAATTATGCAATGGGTAACTGTGCAAAAGTAGAAGAAAAAAAAGCACCGCTCCCAAAGCGAATGCGGTTCATCTGTTTCACAGAAGTGTATTCAAGCGACACCGTTCCAAGTTTTTGCCAAGTCCACGTTGTTGTTTTTTTTTCGTAGGTGCGCTTCGTGCGACTAAATGTTGGAATGTTTGAAATGGATCAGCGCACAAGTGTTGCGACCAGAGCAAAAAAAAAAAACGTATCAATCAATCGAAATTGAATGGTTCCACACTGAATCCATAGACCCAGAAAAATTTCGACGGCATGAAATATGACAAATATTTGGTTTATGTTAACTGGATGATGATATATGGATGGTCTTTGCGACAATCAGTGAATCATTCGGTGGTGATTCATCTTATGTTGATTTTCACAATTTTAGCTTGGTAATATGTATTCTGTGTAGCAAATTCAACCCCTTCAAAAAAACCACATACGAAGAAAAAAAAAACGACCAACAGAAAAAGCACCCATTGATTGTTGTTGTTGTCGTTGAAATCATGACTGGTATGAGTTACTTTGGGAAATACCGATTATGATTTTGTGGTAAACAACACAGAGGAAGGTCGGAAAAAACTCTGATTATGCGTCCGGTTTTTGTTTTCACCATGCTTTTCTCTTCTTATTCATTCGCAAACATTTTCAAATAACAATCGCAATGCCGGCAAAACCGAGGCGACATATGATCAGGAAGCACTGGCTCATTCGTTTGCATGTTTGTAATCGATCAAAATCTGCCTAACTATTATTCGATAAGCGAAGCAAGCAAACAGTGAATGCCAAATGCAGACGCAATGTGCGTGACGACAAGCGTAGGCAGGTGTGAATGGAGTTGAAAACATCATCAAGATGTAATTGCAAGAGTTAAAATGAAAAGTTTATTTCGTGGAAAATGTGTGAACCTTTTCAGATGCAATCACATCAAATTCACAGCGTTTTGTCCCCATATGAGTGTTAATATGTGCATGAATGTGACCCGAACCGATTTTCAAATGCTCTCAATAAAATTTCTATTTTAGTATTACTGCTTAACAACCAAACTAATTACATTTCAATTGAAAACAATAATTCTCTACGCGCCGAGGTGGATGATATCACACGGTATTTGATGGATTTCGTAACAAGTAAAACGCGCCTCAAATCGTGAGACGTACGACTACAACAACAACGCATTTCGATTAAAAATTAACAACACCCAAACCAGCAAACAAGAAAAACCGCTGAAACTATCTTGAAAAAAATTCGCTGTAATCTCTTAATTCCTGCTCATTAAAGAAGTGTTGTTCTCTATGTTGCTGTTTTTAGTAGTTTTTTTTTCGTGTGTTCATTCAAAAAATCCAATTCATGTTCAACCGTGATGTGGTTTCATTTGGTGCCAAGCTCAAACTTTGCATTGGTCCGTTATAATTTGGTTTGGTTGTTGCTGTTGTTACTGTTATTACGTTTGTTGTTGGGGTTTTCGTACTTTCTTCATATCGGCCGTTCTTTCGCTCTATTTCGATGTTGAGTATTTTCGGTATTCGTCAGTGCAATACATCGCATTGGGTGTGCTACAATCACATGCAAAGAATGCTGCTACGAGAAAGAAATGGAAGAAACAGCGATACACATGATAACGGTAATGTTGGTTTGGTGCACCTAGACCAAATGCATGAATGTTAACACTTGTTAAGGTGGTTTGTGTGTGTGTGTGTGTGTGTGTGTGCCGTCAACATGGTGTCAGCCGTGTGCTTTCTATCGATTTAAAGTCACAATACACACAGCTAACGATTTGCCGCACAAAATTCAATTCAATTCATTTCTCAGTCAAAAATTTGCTGTAATCTGGCACGAATTTGCACCGGATGAATGCGAAATGAGTATGTTGTATGTATGTGCCATAACATGTGTGCTTATTACGATGATATGTACACTTTTATTGGCTCCGAACTTCTTTTTTTTTCGTTCATTGTTCTTGTTCCTTCTCGATTTCTCGGAAACCACACCGTATACACGATTTGATGATGATTATAATTTGTCATGTCTAAGGTAGTGCGACTTAATGCGTATCTATTTCAAGCAAAAACTATTAGAACTTGAAACTTTGTGGAGAAAGAGAAGCAAATGAAAACCAGAAACGAATCAGCTCAGCTGACATCAGTCACTAAGCGTAACAAATGCCAACCATTTTCGCAGTCACACATTCACTGATCTAGAAAATTTGGAACTGAACGCACACACACACACACACACATACAGAAGAACATACAACCATTTCGATGTAGTCATTTGAAAAAAATATACGAATTTATTTAAAGCAGACAATTAGACGATGGAATGAATGTACGGAAAATCGGTCAAGAAACAACCTATAATTGGTATATGTCGAATGCTACCAAAATCCAATGGCTACGACAGGTGGATACATAAAAGCACGACCAAAAGGTGTATTCTTTATCGAACATTTGTTCTCATCATTTAATAATTTCTCATACACATCAATCTGTTCACCAACCTGTGTTTCTATTCTAACTGAAACGTTTCCACGATCATCAAAACTGATTGCAATCGTTTGATTGCCGAGATCAAAATAACATTTTGCCATTTAACAAAGATACCAATTCATTTTTTTTCCTTTCCTCCTCTCATTCGGTCCATATCGATTTAATAGCCATGAGAGAGTCAGTGTTTTGCTCGATGTCTGTCTTTGGTTTTTTCCCCCTCTTCATGTTTCGATCATCATAGATCTGTTCTATTGATATATTTAAACCAGCTTTGCTGTAGAATACCATTTTTTTCCTAATTGAGTGCGCTCTGTGTGTGTGTGATTCTTTCTATTCGAAACATTGAAAGGAAGATGAAAAATGTACGAAAAAAACCGTTTTTACGGTACTTTTTCTTTATTTTCGCAGTACACACCGAAAAAATGTAACGTTTCAATTCGTCGATAAGACGTTTTTTTTTTGTTCGTTTTATACGTATTTGGCTAATGTTATTGGATTGGGAGAGAAAGAGAGAGAGAGAGAGAGAGAGAGAGAGAGAGAGAGAGAGAGAGAGA